CAAAAATCTGAATTATGGAACTGAAAGTGAAAGTAGTCAAACTGAATTTTTAATAAACCAAAATACAGTTTCAAAGCAAATTAATTCAAATTCAATTCCTGCTGGCACATTATTTATCCCATACCACCAGGTTTCACTGCTGCGACCTGCCGACCAGAACATTTTAGAGAAAAGACCTCACCTGGAAACACGGCTTCTATGTACCAGGTGAGCACCCCGTACAGGAAGGAGTCGAAGTACATGACAATGATGGTGGTCCGAAGACTGAACTCGTCCTCCTGAAGGGGGCTCGACACCAGGTTCTGCCACTGGATGCCGACTCCTTGTTCCTCGAATAGGGCGAAGTACTCGCAGCCGAACCCGAACGCCACAGGAGACAGCAGGCTCTGAAGGACAACAAGACATGTGACCGACTCCGACCAATCACAAACAACAAACCGGCGATGGAGGCGAGGCGATGAGGGGCAAGGCAACTCACAGCAAAGACTTTGGCCCCGAAGCCAATGTAGTCCTGCCAGGCGACGCAGAGGACGTACGGCAGGTAGAGGGTGAAGTAGATGATTCCTCCGCAGGCGGCGGCCAGGTTGGCGCGAGAAAACACCGTGCTGATGAGGAAGCACTGCATGATGGTGACCACGGCGTACGAGCCCAGGAAGAGGAAGATGATGCCCGGGTCGCTGTACGGCAGCAGGTTCCCCATCTGTAGAGGACAACTTTAGGAATTACAACAACAACAACAGGTTTCTGAGTTTTAGGCCTTCTTGGGGCCTCCTGGATGAGTCGTCAACGGTTTGTTGGGAGTTATTTTGGTCAAATGTTCACCATAATGGCTCCAGTTGATGGATATGTTCTTTTGATATCAGTTCTGCTTTGGCTACATTAATATCTACCTCACTATGACAGCACCATGTCTCCAGGGCCTTTATGTGAGATAGATGAGCTGACTCACCTGTGGGTTTATTTGTTGTTAATAGTCCAACCAGAGCCATGTCATCTGCATATTAGATTAAAATACAGCTCCTGTCATTTATCATGAATTCATTCGTAAAAAGAGAGAATAATACAGGAGAGAGGACACAGCCTTGGGGGCAACCAGTGCTCACAGTGAGCCCATCAAAAATGTTATTACCATGTTACCAACGGTGCCATTTTTTCAGTTGTAGCAGCTACATTAGAAAATGGAGAGAAGTTATCAGGAACTTATTGCTACTATCAGGAAAGTTGTACTTATCTGTTATCAACTAGTTCTGGTGAGGTTCCTGCTGTCTGCAGARGTAGAGAAAGAAATGTGATTCTCTTCATGTTACAGGAATAACTGAGAAGACCCCGACAGCAGGAGYAGGGTCCTGCTGCAGCCGTGGCTGCAGTCGCTCTGGTACCCGTTCGGACAGACAGCAGGAACAGCTGATCGACATGTGAGGTAAATGTTCACTACGTCAGAACTGATTAGGCAAATTTGTTTCCATCTCTCCTTTTGCACATTAACTCTTTTTCAAAAAACCCAAAAACCACCTCCACCAACCACCCAAAACACTCCCACTGGAACCAGACTGGAACATCAATGGACAACACCAGAACTGATCTGTTCCAACACTGACGGTACCGACACTGACCATACCGACACTGACTTTTCTGACACTGACCATACCGACACTGACCATACCGACACTGACCGTTCCGACACTGACCATACCGACACTGACCGTTCCGACACTGACAGTACCGACACTGACTGTTCTGACACTGACAGTACCGACACTGACCGTACCATTCCGACACTGACCGTACCATTCCGACACTGACTGTACCGACACTAACCATACCATCACTGACTGTACCGACACTGACCTTACCGACACTGACTGTTCTGACACTGACAGTACCGACACTGATCATACCGACACTGACCGTACCGTACCGACACTGACCATACCATTCCGACACTGACCATACCATTCCGACACTGACAGTACCGACACTGACCGTTCCGACACTGACTGTACCAACACTGACCGTACCGACACTGACCGTACCAACACTGACCGTACCAACACTGACCGTACCGACACTGACTGTACCAACACTGACCGTACCGACACTGACCGTACCGTTCCAACGCTAACCGTTCCGACACTGACTGTACAGACACTGACCTTACCGACACTGACCGTTCTGACACTGACCGTTCAGACACTGACCCGTACCGACACTGACCATACCGACACTGACCGTTCAGACACTGACCTTACCGACACTGACTGTTCTGACACTGACTGTTCTGACACTGACTGCTCAGACACTGATCCGTACCGACACCGACCGTACCGACACCGACCGTACAGACACCGACCGTTACGACACCGATCGTTACGACACTGATCCGTACCGACACTGACTGTACAGACACTGATCGTACCGACGCTGACCGTACTGACGCTGACCGTTACGACACCGACCGTTCCGACACCGACCATTCCGACACTGATCCGTACCGACACTGACTGTACAGACACTGATCGTACCGACACTTACCGTACCGACACTGATCTGTACCGACACTGACTGTACAGACACCGATCGTACCGACACTGACCGTAACGACCCTGACCATACCGACACTGACCGTACCGACACTACACTAAGTGGCACTAGTGAAAAGACAACTTCCAAACTTGGATAATCCCAGAAGACTAAACTCACGTAGATTTAAACTGGGTGATTCTGCMTTATTAAAGATAAAATCTTTGCAGTAAATAGTAAAGCCTGTTTGGTTCTTCCAGTTCTAAAGGTCAAACCAGCACCAGGTCTCTGGTCCTCACCTTCAGCACCAGCACCAGCAGACCGGCGCTGATCAGCAGAGGCACCAGGCTGCTGATGAACCAGCTGAACCACAGGATGCCGTTATCCAGACCCATGATCCTCATGGTCTCCTTCAGACGGGCCTCCTTCTCGTACACCACACTCTTCAGGATGATGGACACCGAGTACATCCAGGCCAGCGTCATGAAGAGCGGCATGGAGCGGCTCATCACCCGCAGGAAGCTGCGACAGAAACGAGAGAGGGGGACATGTTTGAGATGGAGAGCGACCAGGAACGTGAACGGAGGCGTGGTGAGTGGTCTTACATGTCGTCCACGTAGCAGGGGTACGGCATCTGCTGGATGTAGACTCCCGTTTTCTCTCTGGTGCCCGTCAGCGCTCTGATGATGCCCTGCTCGATCACGTCCTGCAGGTACAAGAACCCGCCCCAGATGTACCGCATGTCCTCAAACGGGTCGGCACGAGGGCCTGGGTCCCAGTACCTGAGGAGAGGCAGAACGTCAGAGTCCAAACGAAAACCASAGTGCAACTTTCTGGTTTATGTAGGTGCTCTTACGCGTCTTTGATCTTGTTGGTCCGCTCCACGTTGTCGATGTCCATCCGGAGCTTGTAGTTGACTTTTGGCGGGAGTTCTGTGGTGTTCGGAGCGATGTCGGGGAACACGATCCCCGCCCAGAACTTCCTGTCCTCCAGCAGCAGCATGGACTGGTTAACGAGCCGCTCCTCGGTGGCGACTGGCTCCAACTTGTCCAGGTTTACACACTGACACACACACACACACACACACACACACACACACAC